ACAGTGTTATCTGCCAGCTGATGTGTGGCCTGAGAAAGTGACTTTTTGAAGTACTGTGATTCCAAGATAACCACATGAAATGAATCATACATAATTGCTTATACCAATCTGCCAAAGCAAGTCCCTTATTTCTTGTTTGAAAATAATACAATTAGTTCTTTATGTTAAAAGGCAGAGGGTTTAGTTCTAAAAAAATAAAAAAAATATGGTTTCTGGGTGTCCTCTTTAACCTTCCCAGTAAATGCAAGTTGACAATGCAGATAATTCATGTTTACTTTGGGAAGCACATAGACCATGATACCAGGGTGATGTGATATTGGTTAGGAAGTTTTGATATTTTAGAATTCTATTCAGTGGCTCTGAGTACTGCTATAGAAGAGTGATAATAAAAAGATATGGATGTAGATTAGCATCTATAAAAGTGTAAAGCAGATATGGTAAACATGACCACATTCACCTAGTGCTAGAATTACTAGAACTGGTTGGTACTGCTTGGAGCTTGCAGTGTATTTAGGTCAAATAAATTATGGTGCTATAATTGGAATATATAATAAAACTCTTCATTACAAGGAAGCGTTATAGACTAAATATAGAAAGGCTGCAATAAGAAACACCTGCAAAATGGGTGGGAAAGGAAGTGGTCGTGGACACAGCCTTAATTACCTTTGATGTTATGTAGGACCACCTACCTCTCCTTTAAAATCTTGGCTGGTGTCACTGAAATTCAATATAGGGCTACATAGGAATCCAGTATAGCAAACTTTCCAATTCTGAAAGGCTAAAGGCCATAAGATTTGCTACTCCCATAAGTTTCCTACAACTAACTCGGAACAGGGTTCATCATGAAGTTTTGGAAATTATTTTAAAAGATTTAACTTATAGGGTACTAGATTAGAGAGCAAAGGTTCATTGAGGACATTATCTAAGCATGAAAATAAATATTGCTTTAAAGGGACATATAGAATAAGCTAATAGCTACTGTCATATAATCAAAATTGTTAAGAGTATAAGCTTTTTTGGCTTGCCTTTTATATGAGATCTACTTTTATATAGTTACAGAAAATGTTTTGATGAGAATCTGGAAGTTGTCAGGTGCTCTAGCTATCTCCATCATTTTCACAGTTCCAGAAATCCTTCTTTGTCCTCTGATCCTTCTTCTCTGTTACAATTGGATCCATAGATTAATTTTCTAACATTGTCTATGATGCATAGTAAAACTGAATTATGAAAAAATTACTTTGCACATATTAAAAATTAAAAAAAATGAAATCTGTGCATATAAAAACATGGGGTATGGCACATTTGTATATAGTGTAGAACTGAAACTGAATGCAAGATGTTTGGAAGATAATAAGAGATTAAGAAAAAGGAAAAAGGAAGGAACAAAAAGGGAAAGGTGAAGATGCGACGGTGTGACTGTTTTTATCTGAGGGACTTTGTGCATGATCTTCATACTGTTTGCTCTCGGGTTTAGTGTTCTTACAAATACAGCAAGTCAGAGTCCACAGGAAACAGGAATTAAAATAATGGTGAAGATTTAAGAAATGGATACACAGAAAATTACACCCCTTTTATCATGAAGCATCTTTGTCCCATGGCATGCATATTGAGCAGTTGTTCTGGGGTTTAAGACGAGACAGAGCAAGACAGGCTGGGTTCATTTTGTGCTTCTTGAATTTCGAGGGTTGTCCAAATGGCCAGGTTGCATTTATGTACGTCAACTTTTTCTCTAACCAAAATTTATACTGTACTATGAGATCTAGTCTGAATGGTCCTAGAAATTTAGGGCATCATCTTTGACTCAAACAGACTTCAGTTCCCAGTTTTGTTACTTTCCACCTTGATCTTGAATAAGTTTCATTCTCCAACTCTCTGCTACTTCACCTTCAAAAGGGAAAATAATAGTACCTACCTCCAGATTTTTTATGAGGACTAAATGAGATCATTCTTGTTAACTACTTAGCACTGTACCTGGAATACACTTTAAAAACTCAAGTAGAAGAAATAAAAATCATTATTGTTATTATGGGGGGGCAGCATCAAATTAGAGCTAATGAGTCTTTGTATATACACAGCTCCAAAAAAACCACAATCCTATTTCAAGGGGTCTTAGCAGAATTCAAAGCCTTGTTTGTGAAGTCAGTGATGTTTTAAGTCATATGGTACCCCATTGGAATATATTAGAATATTTGGGAATGTTAGCAAAGGGGTGTTGGAATGTACAACCACCCATATTTCTTCCATGATTGAATCTAAATCCATTCTTCTGTACTTTACATTATATGGTCTACATTACAGGGTCAGCTGATAACAAAATCGTGTCATTTATAACTGAATGAAGTTCAACTCTAGAAAGTTTGGTTCCAGAGCTTATGGTTAATAATCACCAGGCTAAGCTAGTATCTCTCATAGGTTATTATTTATTTAAAAAAAATTATATAGGCCCAACTGGCTAAAGATCCAGAGCAAGCATTTTTTAAAAAATTAACAGTTGAATATACTGATACACATGCTTATAGAAATAATGAGGAATTTTGCTGTCATACTTCACATTGGCTAGAAGTTCCTTACTATAGATAATGCTGTCCAGTTCAGCATTTAATATACAAAAATGATAGGGAGAACTGTGTGTGTATCTGAATGGAAACTTGGAGGATAAATTAAATATGGGAAATATGCATTAAAGAGAAGTAGCAAATGCTTTCATTATTTATCTGGTCATTCAGCCAGTAATATTAAGTGCCAAGTGCAGGTAGATTTTTTTTAAAAAGGAGATTCTCACCAATTTTTTTTTATAACTATAAGCCCCAAAAATGCAGTTCAACTATTTATACATTGATTGAATTAACTTGTTTTAAGCTATAGAATGTCCTGTGAGTAAAGACCTGTGAGAAATTCAATAATCATTAGATAAAGACTATAGAAGGCATTACAGAGACCCCAGAAACAATACACAGGGACGTATCCACATACAATAAAATAATACATTTTCCTTCCAGAAGTCTGACAAAAATCTCACATTATGGTCAGTTTACATGCTTTTATTAAGCAAAGGAATGTGACACAAATTTTAAAAAGGTTTTTCATAAAATAAAAGTTAAAGTTTCTGCTTTTTTTTTTTTTTAAAGATTTTATTTACTTACTTGACAGAGGGAGAGAGATCACAAGTAGGCAGAGAGGGAGGTGGGGGGGAGGGAGCAGGCTCCCTGCTGAGCAAAGAGCCCTATGTGGGGCTTGATCCCAGGACCCTGAGATCATGACCAGAGCCAAAGGCAGAGGCTTAACCCACTGAGCCATGGAGGCGCCCCTCTGCTTAATTTCTAATGATTTTTTTTTTTAACCAAGAGTTTACATGTGTTATCAAAACAACAGCTTGCAATTGCATGAACAGTTGCTTGAAGTTTGACCCTTGAGAAAAGAGTTTTTAAGTTCTCTTGTGTCAGATCATTATCTGTTATGTTTAATGTTTATTATCTTTACGTTTTCTTTTAATGCAAGTTAAATGAAAAGTAAATATACAGGATGGTAATCTTTTGCCAGGTACAAAGACCGAGAACATACTCCTAGTGTTTTTCACAGTATTTCGAATTTCTAATCTGCAAAGAAGGAAAGTGTGTTCCTTTTTGAACTCGGCATTTGAAACTCACTACATCAGGGAACATTCTTTAGCACGTGGACTTTAGATCCTGGACTTATTAAATATAGGAGCATTAATGAGAACAATGGTGTATATTAGTGTTTTTTTCCCATTTATCATTAAGTTATAACATATACAAGAAAACATAATTTCCAATTTCTTATCTAAGTGCAGTGCCCCAACCCATTCCTGAAAATCGGTTTGGAGCAATTAAAGAATGGCCTGACTTGGCATTTTTTTTTTTTTGATTTCCAGTGTTTCAGCGTATAATGTTTGTGCGCACTGGAAACATTTTAGCTTCTGGAGTTTTATGTCCCACATGATTTTCCCTCTTCTGAAAGTCGTAACAAACAATTCTGGTCACGTCATCTATGCATTTATTGAATACAATGCCTATAGGGCTTAGAGAAAATCCGAACAACACGATTAGGTTTTCCTGGTTCCCAGGAAGCTCACAATCTACCCTCAGACTCTCAAAGGTGCTTGGCCTCTCAGGTCTGAGGCGCCACAAGAAGGCTGCTCCAGCAGGCCTGGGTACGCAAAGTTGCTTCCTGGCCTGAACGCCAACTTGGCAAGGATCTGCTGCTGGCAAACGCAGATTAGTAAGGATAAAGTCGCCACAGACTCAACCAAGCAAAGCATAAATGGCCCTTTCAGCGTGAGCCTGCGAGAAGGGATGTTACTGAGCCCAGCAACCCAAATTACTTTTTCTGGGATCACCAAACTCGAGTTTTTGGGGTTGTTTTGTTTTAACGCTTTCGGATTCATGAGGCAGGTGCCTCATCACCTAACCCTCCCACCTCGCTTTCTTTCGCGTAACTCCTCTACCTCCTTGCTCAAGTTCAACTTTTTAATGGGCTTTAGAGGAGCGCAGTAGGCTGAGAGGCTGGGAAGGTGAGAGAAAGCGCGCTACCACCACGTTGATTTCTACTGCAATAGCGTGATGGCGGGGGAGAAAAAAAAAGCGGGTACGGGGACCAAAGGGGTGGTGGCAGAAAGGGCACAGGGCACGCCTCGCAGGGGGACCAGGGGGCGGGGCCACGTGCCAGTCCCAGGGTTCCCAGCTCGGGTGCGACCGGCGGGCTCCTGAGCGTCCCAGCCTGCCAGCCGACCGCCGCTCCCTGGGCGAGCATCCTTGTCCCAGTACCTCCCCCTCGACCAGCGAGCGCGTCGCACGAAGGCGCGTCCGCATCCATGCCCCAGACTGGGGAGCAGAAGGCGTTCACAGACCCGGGCGTGTGATGTGAGGCTGAGCGCGTGGCATCCGCGTCTTGCCCGGCTGAGCCGGACGCGGGAGAAGAGGGGCGCGCTCCGGCTCTTCTAGCGGTGCGCTGGGCGGGGCGCGGCTTGTGGGGGGGGGGGGCCCGGCCACCCGCGGGAAGCAGCGGAAGAGCAGGCGCGCTGCGGACCCGAGGGAGGGCACCGTTAAAGCTTTGCCATCAATTGTGAGCCCAGTGAGTCAGTCCTAAGCTAACACACTAACTCTGCAGCTTCCCTCACGCCCCCAAACCACCGAAGGTGGCGACACCTGATCCAGCGCACAAGCACGGGTCCCTTCTGTCCCCGGATACAATTACGCGGCAGAGACACATTCAAACTCAACGCGCAGCAGCCCAGAGCCGAGTAAGTAGAGGGACGGCGCCGTTCCAGTGGGAGGAAGAGGGGCGGGCTGGGAGGAGGAGATGGGCGTTGTTTGCTCCCAAAGGTGAGCGCTGGGCGAATGGCTGCGATCCAGGGGCGGGGGGCTGGGATCGGAAAAGACGGATGAGGTTGGGCTGAGAGAGACATAGGGAGTGGGGGTGGGGGGTAAGGAGAAAGGTTAATAAGGTTGAGGGGCCGTGAAGAAGGTCTTTCCTAGCTGCCCCCGATAGTTCCCGTACTTTCTTCTCCCATATGGCACCCTTTTGAGGGTCTACTTGAGTTCATGCGTGTTGAACTCGAGAGGGGAGGGGAGAACCTGGCACGGATCTGGCGGAGGACCTTGCACTTGACCCTGGAGGGATGGGCATCAGGGAGCTCCAAGGCCGGTGCCCGCTGCCTGCGGGGATGGGGGACCAGGAAGTTTCGGACCTCTCTTAACAGTCTTCTACTTCGTCCTCTCTCTAAAGGGGAACTGGGTGTGTTGGGGGTGGGGAATGTCTCGGGTCTGCGCGCGCGCGCGTACACACACACACACACACACACACACACACACGCTCGCACACTCTGTCTCTCTGACTCACTCTCTCGGGACCCTTGAGCATCTGCCGGAGCCCATATGCCCGCGTGACCCCCCCCCCCCCCCGCTCCCAAGAATGTATAGTGGTGGCGGGGTCGCTCGCCGGTTCACACGCGGTTGAGAGAACCATGCGGAGTGCCCTTGCGTTAGAGAAGCTCCTACGGGCTGCCGAGGTTAGAGAGGAGTTGCGAGAAGGACGTGCTGCAGGAAGTAGGGCGCCTTCCACGGGTTGGAGGAGCGGCGAGGGAGCCTGGGATGCGTGATTTGGGGTTGTAGGAGGCGAACCGCATCGGAAGGCGCAAGTATGTGCAGTGCGACGCGGCAAAAGAACAGGCAGAGGTGGGGAGGGGTGTACCCAAACGTACGTGGAAGCTCGCTGGTTCAATTTTGCGTTGATAAAGTTGAGTGCGGTGAATGTACTACTCTGCAGCACTTCCTCAGGGAAGGAACCGCTTCTGTACCTGTACTGCTGGTTGCCGTCACCTTAAAGTATCACGGGGCGCTAGGGTGGGGAAGAAGGTGGGCCAACTTCTGAGAGTCCCGCAGACTAACTCACTGGAACGCTAGATCATGTTAAGTAGCCATTCGTAAGGAGAGGGCGTATCACTAGAGCACGGGTGGTGGGCGGTGTTCTCAAGCAGAAGCGACCCAGAGTCAGTGTTAGTAATAGAGATAGCCCTTTATTCCAGGTGGGTTCCACCCAGAAACAAAGGAACAAACAAACAAACAAACACACTACTCTAGAAACAGTCCCCTCAGGCTGTCACCTTGGATATTGAGTTTTTCAAGATTAATAGCCTAAAGGTGTGGTTCTTTGGCTATATATGCCAGGTGTGCTGCGGTTTCTTCTGATAATTTCATGTTTGAAAAAAGTTCTCCACTCAGAATTTCTGTGCTTTTATATCTCTAGGGGGAAGAAATGACTGTCGTTTGAAGGAAGGATAGAAAGTCCTTTTTAATTGGTATTCTGCTCATATTAGGATTAATCACACTTTATTCTCTGGAGATTTTTAAATTAATTGAAGAGTTATGCACTTCAGTGTTATTTGATAAGGGATTCCAGAATTTGTTAACTAAGCTTAATCATAAATCAGCATTTTTTTTTTTCTTCAGTGCCAGAGGGGGAAACAGTGGATTTAGTTTTCTTCTGTAAAAACTATCTCTTGATAGTTTGAGGTTTTGCTTTAGGAATGTAACTCGGTTCATCAAACATTCTAGATAATTCCAAAGGGAAATACTCTAGTAGTATTTGATTTGCCTGCCACCCAGACATGAAGGTGACATCTAGTGTGTGATTTAGTGCGGTAGGACTGTTCAAAAACTACAATGAAGCGTGATGCCTTGACATTTGGTAAAAGCTTAATAGTGTTTTAGTAGCTGGGCATAACTTAGGAGAAACGATATTTCTGACTTTTTCTGGGTAGTACTACTATAGAGATTCAAACTCTCTTAAATTTCCAGAACTTTGTGCATGTTGTATTAATACTTAGTGCACTTAATAGGATAAATAAACCAGTAAAATAAATAAAGATATTTATAACAAAATCTATTTCTTATAAAATCTTTTTGTGGAAATAGTTTGACAGTTAACATTTAATTTAAATTACTTAAAACATTTCATGATACCTTATCAGCTTAATTACCACTTCAATATGGATAACAAAGGAAGAAAATAACCACATTCCCGATTTGCAGACTCCTTTTCAAAGTTATTTAAAAATTACTTGTCAAATAATACTGAGTTGGTGCTGTTTAATTCAGCTAGATTTTCAGAATATACCAGGAGAATAAGAACTCTTGATTATTTTTGTAACATATATTAATACTACAGCTATTGATACTGATAACTCTCTGGGTCGTTGCTTATTTACATAAGTGCATTTTCTCTTTAGCTGACCTCCCATGATCAACTAATTATTGAAACTTAAAAATTCAGCTGTTAAATAATTTCTAAATCTTACACTCTTACTTGCTCCCCTGGATTTAAATTAATTTTTTCTTATTGGCTTTATGAGCATGAATTCATAGAGAATTGAATAGCGCTATTTGTTGAGGTGTATAGAGCTGTTTTTGTTTATAGTAAATGGTCTCAGTCTGCCCTGTTGAAATACTAGATTGGAGACAGAAGTACTATTCTTTTTATGGTTTTTCTGGGTCCTCTTTCTGTTATCAGCTATCTCTGCTGCTGTCAGGCTGTGAGCGAGTCCTGCTGCTATGTTATCTGTTGTCTTTTCTTTCTGTGAAATGATGTGGGCAATTGCTCGAGTATAAAGCCTGTGGGCTTTGTGTCAGGTACTTGGTGTTCTCATGCTTTATTTCTGGGCTGGATTGTAAGCCGTATGACTGAAGTTCCCAATGGGACTAGTAGGATGGCCTCTGTATGTATGGTTTTAATGTCATTGTTCTACAGAATATTTTGTGTATGAGATCTTTAGAAGGGTGTCTTAATTTTAGACAGTTAAGTCTTATGAAAAATCTTTGCTTTTCTGAGAAATTGCAGTAGTCCTTAAAAAAAAGTTTACTTTTCTTAGAGTAGGCCCAGATTGTCTTTGTTTAGGAATATGTGTCCAGTGATGTTTTCTTATTTTTTTAATTTTTTTTATTTTTTAAAGATTTTATTTATTTATTTGACAGACAGATCACAAGTAGGCAGAGAGGCAGGCAGAGAGAGAGAGAGGAGGAAGCAGGCTCCCTGCTGAGCAGAGAGCCCAATGAGGGGGCTCGATCCCAGAACCCTGGGATCATGACGTGAGCTGAAGGCAGAGGCTTTAACCCACTGAGCCGCCCAGGCGCCCCCAGTGATGTTTTCGATACCACTTTCTGCCTTTGAAACTAGCTAGCTGGATGGAATGTTGGTAATATTTTCCTACTCTGGTGTAAAAGGTGTGATTTGATAATCTCGATCACCTGTTGAAGTGAGGTCAATCATTTCAATACTATTTTACAAACTCCCTGTGGAGGAGCTACATAATCAAATTAGTTTGAATAAATTAGTTTAATTTAGTTTTGGAGGACAGTAGTAGTAATCAACATCTTCCTAAACTAAAACATTTCACAAGCATTCCTTCTTTTATTCAGCAAATTTTTATTAAAAGCATACTGTGTTCTTGTGCTTTGGGGATATACAGACACAGAAGACCGTGGAAAGGCTCTGGGTTTAAGAGGTTAGATAGATTGAAAACACACTAGTTTCAAAAAAGTGCACTCACAGAACCTACAACATTATATTGCACTTACTGAAACTAGTGTTTTTAATCTATCTAGCCTCTTAAACCCGGAGCCTCATAGTCCATATGGGCACGGGCAAGGTCATGGGGGGCTGTTTGCCATCATAAGGAATATGGACCATTTTCTGTTCAGGTTTGTTTCAAAAAAGGAATGATATGATGCAAAGATAGCTCTTAAAGTTGTCTAGAAGGATGGATCTGAGGAATGTGAGACAGGAACGGCAGTTTAGAAGATAACCAGAGTGATCTCATTGAGGACTTTATACCGTAGTGGTAGCAGAGAGATGAAGAAAAGGTTTTGGTCACAGATGTTAAGGTAGGGGAATCTCTAGGATCAGCGGTGTGACATACGAGGAGAGGCAGGTCAGAGGAGCAAGGGTGTTTCAGTTCAGTTTTGAAAGAGTATGAAGTACCTACAGAATGTCCAACTGGAGAGGAGTGTCCAATGGATCGTTGCACAGAAGTTCTGAGTAGAGGAGTCTTGGCTGGATAAATAAGGTAGATAAATGGACAGACGGATAGATAGGTAGAAAAATGGATGGATAGATGGAAGTGGATGGATAGATGGATGGATGATTGGATGTGCCTTCCAGGACAAGTACAATGAGTAAGAGAGAAATAGAAGCCTAGGGAAATCCTAAAATCCTAACAATCCTAAAAATCCTATCAGTTTGGTGAGAAATAGGGAACAGTAAAGAATGAGAAGTACAGAATGAAAGGTGGGAGGAGAATGAGGCTAGAACAGCTTTTGAGTAGCCGAAGGAGGAAAGAAGTTCAAGAAGTAAGATCAAGTACTAAAATGAGGGGTATCAGACAGTCCTGATTCTGCTCCTGCCTAAACTCTGTGACCTTGAACTTAGGGTACTGTTCTCACCTACAAAAAGAGGATCAAAGTGTGTACACCAAGTGGCTACTTTGAGGATCAAGTGAGATAAAGTCTGGCATGCTCTGTGCCTGCAAGGTTATTGGTTTGTGCTTGGTAAACGCTAGCTGTCTTTCGTGAAAAGCAGAACTTCGATTTGGTGTTTAGTTGGTCTGTGGAGACTATTGCTTTTGGCAGTACTTGCTGTCAGGATTCAAGGAGGGTGATTAAAGTTGTGTTTAAGATGAAAACTTGATCAGATTTATAGCCTTTGGGGAGGAAGCCAGTAGAAGAGAGGCAATTGGAAAATTTG